GCCCCGCCCGCCCCCGGTTCCGGCCCGACCCAAGCCTGGCCGCTTCTTAGCAGCCTGCTTCCCAGACGGGACCGTGGCTGCTCTCGACTGCTGAGCTGTCCTGCTTTATTGTTGCTGCGGGACACTGACCCCGCTGCCTTGCTGCACAAGGGGAAGGAGCCGTTGGCCAGCCGTATACCCGCTCCTTTCCTTCGGCAACCGGCTGCAGAGTCGGCCGGGATTTCAGCGGCTCTTCGGCGAACGCGATTCACTGGTTCTAATACGCACTTCTCTGCACGCAAGGCGTCTGTGAAGAATTGCGTCCGCTTAGGCCCTGCTTTCGGCTCGGCAGCGCTTATCTGCGACTATGTCGCTTTGGGGAGAGGGGGAGCGAACAGGGAACTCGACGGCCTGAGCCAAGCAGCTCCAGATCATCTTGAGACAGGTCGTTTTCTACCTTCAGCGGAGGCAGAGCCCGTCTCGGTTGGGAGGGACTTTTCCCAATTAAGTTGCTTCCGGGCTGCGCTTTCGAAGTAAGCCTGCCTCAGTGAGACGTGTAGTCCTTGGAAGTGGCTGATGGAACTTCTTCCCCTGCCTAACGGAGCATAGCTATCCACACCCCCGCCCCCCCAGCACACGCGCAATGAAGACGCTTCCCTTGAGCCGCTCCCTTCACGGAAATCATCAGCGAAAGGGAGTTCGGCGTTGGGGTGTAACCGATCCTGAGGACGCACGGCCGACGCGGGTGCAAAACCCGTGCGCCGGTCCTCAAGGGGCGTCTCTGCTCTTGCGGTCCTGAGGTCGGTCTCTCTCTCCCCCTCCTCGTCCGCGCCGGGTGAAGGGACGAGACAGGTGGAGATTTGGAAGGAGACTCCTCCCGCTGGCGGAGGCGGGGGGGGAGGAGGGAGCGCACGCACGTCTCCCCGGGTCCCCCAGCGCTGTGGAGCGGCGGCGGGAGAGGCATCAGCTTCAGCTTCCAGCTTCAGCTTCAGCTTGACAGCGAAAGTGGCGCGAGCAGCTGGCGAGGCCGCCCCTCCCTGAGACGCTGGCGAGGGCCGTTCGGGCGCGCGCCGCCGGCCTCCTCCAGTGCTGCCTCCTGCCCGGCGAGGCTCGCTCTTCGCAACGAGGCGGCGGAAGAGTCTGTCGGACCTGCCTTTCCCCTCCTTCCCTATAAGCTGGGACCGCGCGCGGGGCCGGAGAGCTATTGCTAAGCGAGAAGGCTAATTAATGGCAAGCCAGCCAAGACGCGGCTGTAATTGCTTCGGTGGCTTCCCTAAGATAGAGGCAGGAGAAAAAAAAGA